TGCTCCGATCTGCCCCAAACTCGACATGCCGGATCACAGTCCCGCCGTGCGCGAAGGCCGACAAGCGTAGGGCGAGGACCCGTCCATCGCCGCTTGCGGCTTTAATTGTTTTGGTTTTCCAACCTACAGCTCACCTGCTTTGTTTGGCTCTCAGTGGCAAAAATGTTAGTACTGGTGGATTTATACACACTACTTTAACCAAACTATTCCAAACTACCTATTCAAGTGTAGAATTACCGGCTGGTTTGCGGGACTCAGTTGGGCCCCACATGTAAAATCAGCAGGAGGACTTACATTTATACAACATGCTGCAAAACTTGCATGGATTTGATTGATTGTAAAAAGTTTTTTTTTTATTCCAAGTTGTTTTCTTGTTAAATTATAAAGAAAGAATAAAATGGGTGCTCATTTTTGCTGTAGCATTAGTGTTGAGTGAAATCTGGTGAGATTTGTCATGTTGACTCTCTTGATTCCTGCAGCATCGACCACTCAAACTGCTGTTCCCCGTTGTTGCAGGTGAACTACAAGTCAGACCTTAACTGGATCAGAGGAGTGGGCTGGACCCCTCCTGGCTCCCACAAGGCCGAGCTCGCCCGCCGGGCTGCAGAGCTGGGTCTGGCCGAGGGAGTTAGCACCGACGAAGCTATCTCAAAGTATCAGCACATGATGATGGTGAGGAAATACGGACAAGTGGATTCTAGAAAATCAATAGACAATAAAATGTCAGTATTACTAAAAAGCGATCCTGTTAACTTCCGTCTTTCAGCTGCACCACCAGCAGCAGATGGAGGAGCAGCAGCAGCAGCAGCAACAGCAAACGTCCGAGCAGGTGGAGACCAGCGAGGAGATTCAACAAGGCGTCAACATGGATGCCATGGAGGTCCTGCACGTGAAGAGGAAGAAGACCATCCAGACTGTTCAGAAAAAGTCCACCACCACCACAACTTCCTTCAGATCAATGGAGAAGAAGTCCAGCACCACCTCGTCCTCCTCATCAGCTGCCCTCCAGAGCACAGTCAAGATGTCCTCGTCCAGTAAAGCTGCCGCGATAGAGGACGCGTAGTTTGGAGTAGATTTTTAGCAATTATAGTGTTTAGAGACAGTTAAAGATGGTCGCTTTCGGAAAGTGTTTTTGACGTTTACTGAGTGGTTTATTTTACTACTTTGATGAAATGACCATTGTGACTCTGTAGTTACGTGAGACAGAGCCGCTGTAGGTGCAACAACGAACTGTAATGCACAGAATAGTTCATATGATTACAAAAGGGGATTAAGCATGTTGAACCAGAGTGGGACTTGTCATGTTGGTTGAAAAAGGTTGTCTATGTATGTGC